GGAACAAGTTCGATGTGAAAGCAGATGAAGGAATCTTCTTGGGGTACTCTCTGACTTCGAAGGCATATTGGGTTCTCAACAAAAAGTCCAAAAATATAGAAGAAACCTATTATGTCACCTTTGATGACAATTATCTAAAGAAGTATCAAAAGACTGATTCTCAATCAGAGGATATTTTTCCCACGACTAATCCGATGACGATTCCTCTTTCAAATATTTGCGAGGAATTCATGAACCTGTTTGATGAGCCAGAAAAGGCGATATCTTCGGAATCAAAAGCAACAGAAAACAAGGAAGATGTACTAAAGAATATTATTGATGACGCTGCGAAGGATCTTGACAAGGAGCCACCCATTCTGAAGGCCTTTGACATTCCATCTCAACCATAAGCTTCGAATTCTCCAATTCAGGGGGAGGGTTCTGCATCAACCTCTACATCTAGCAGACCTGTTCAGGGGGAGGATTCAACTCCTCAAGTAAACCACGAAAGTCCAATCCAGTGGGAGATTCCTATTACGAGCGAAGAGCCACATGCAATATTCTAGGGGGAGAATGAGAACGAAAATAATGACTCAGACGTTCAATCGGAATTTGAAGACGTGAATGATGAATTGGATCCATCCTATGATCCAAACTACCCTCCACTGACCAAATGGACTAGAGATCATCCTAAAACACAAGTAATCGGAGATGCATCTTCTAGAGTTCTTACGAGTGCTCAACATAAGGCGAATCAGACTGCATTATTTTCAGAAATGGAATTTTGCATGTTCAATTTGTTTATCTCCAAAATTAAGCCCAAAAATGTTAAGATTGCTCTTGATCATTCTGATTAGGTGCAAGTTATGCAGGAAGAGCTTAATGAGTTCGAACGAAATAAAGTTTGGAAACTAGTTCCCACTCCGAAGGATGTATCTGTTGTAGGTATGAAATGGGTGTTTCAGAATAAGCTCGACAAAGAGCGGAACGTTATCAGAAATAAAGCTCGATTGGTCGTAAAAGGGTATTGCCAAGAGGAAGGCATAGACTATGAAGAAACTTTCGCACCAGTAGCAAGGTTGGACTCTGTTCGCATCTTCCTGGAATATGCAGCTCACAAGAACTTTGAAGTCTATCAAATAGACGTCTAGTGTGCTTTTCTGAACGGGGAACTAGAAGAAACAATGTATGTGGAACAACCACCAGGGTTCGTAAACGAAAAATATCCCAACCATTGTTATATGAAAATCGCACGAGCATGGTATGAAACTATCAATAGATTCTTAAAGCAATCTAAGTTGAAACAAGGCTCGGTCGACCCAACCTTCTTTCGCAAGAAAGATGGTGACCATCTGATGATTGTCCAAATCTATGTTGATGATATCATTTTCGGATCTACTAATCCTAGATTAACTACTGAATTTCGAAAAATAATGGAGACTAAGTTTGAGATGAGCTCAATGGGTCCGATTAACTTTTTCCTTGGTTTGAATATTAGACAGTGTCAAGAGGGTATATTTATCAAATAGGAGGCTTATACGAAGACCTTACTTGCAAAGTTCGGAATGGTGGGAGATTCAACGGTCAAGGTGCCAATGGCATTTGGAACAAAACTTACATTGTCTTTGGACAAACCATCTACTGATATGACTATCTATCGTCAAATAATAGGATCATTGATGTATGTAACCGCTAGTTGTCCTGACATTGCGTTTTATGTTTGTTATTGTGCCAGGTTTCAAGCAAATCCTTGTGAACCCCATATGACTGCAGTAAAGAATATCTTCAGATACTTGAAACAAACATCCTCGCTTGAAATTTGGTACCCTTCCAATTCAGGGTTCTTTGTGCAAGCATTATCAGACGCTGATCTTGGAGGTTGCGGTCTTGATCGAAAAAGTACAACTGGAGGATGTCAATTTTTTGATGGCAAACTCATAAGTTGGCAATCAAAGAAACACACATGAGTCTCCTATCGACTGCTGAAGCGGAGTATATCGCAGCTGCCTCTTGTACCTCGCAAGTGATTTGGATTCAAAGTCAGCTTAGGGACTCTAGGATTAATATGAAGCGAATCCCTTATACTGCGATTTCGAAAGTTCTATTCGCATTTGCCACAACCCAGTGCAGCATTCCAAGACTAAACATATAGCACTTAGGTATCATTTCATAAAGGGTCATGTGGAGGATGGCAATGTTGAAATTCACTTTGTAAGATCTACTGATCAACTAGCTGATATCTTTACGAAGGCCTCACCTGAACAAAATTTCAATCGAATTCTTCAAGGCTTAGGAATGATAGAAGAAGAATATGTTCCGAAACCTTCTTCGCACTAAGAAAGTATTGGTTAAACTGCGAATGGGTCCGAGCCCTCGGAGCGATTCAGAGTCTACTGTTCACACTGCGAATGGGTCTGAGCCCTCGGAGCGACTCGGATTTAACTGTTCATTAGGAGGTTCGACACTTCTTGTATCCTTTGTATATTTTGTTTTCGTAAGTTATTGTACACTTGTGTTTTCGTTTTTATTTTATGTTTATTTTATTTCTTTTTCAGAAAATCAAAAATACAAAAATATTTTCTTTATTTCTGTTTTTATTTCTTTTTCATAAAATGAAAAATACAAAAATATTTTCTTTATTTTTGTTTTTATTTTATTAGACATCTGAGAAGGCTTGTAGGTACATATTCTTTATGATCACAATTCTGAACGACGGGACAGATATAACATTCCGAATCTTCGCACTAGTTAAGTGTCCCTAGAAGCATGATGTTGCATGTTGTCCAAAGCCTCTGAGACTCTATGTCTGAAGCCTTAATGAATCGATAATACCAATCGTTTCTTCCCAATCAGGATGTATATTCACACAAGTCATTGCGCTACCTTACTATTCTCATATTGAGTGTAGAGTTGACTGTTTGGTCATTCTTTCATAGCAGAGGTACATTTCTCTTCGAAACCACCTCCCAAAATTTCTCCATCATTTTCTCTTCATTTTGATATAATCAACATGTTTTTCTTTTTTTTTTATGTATTTGTTTATGAATATTAATTTTGAAAGGTATATACGTGAGACAAAATCTACTAAATGAATCTTAATATATTTCTTTTAAATACCCTACTAGAACCATATTGTGCTCTGATTTTATAATACCTTAGGGGCTAATGAAACTATTTTAGTAAAATTGAACTGTCTCAATTCTCGGGCAATTGCACCAAAAACTCGCATTCCTTTTGGATTTCCTTCTTGACCAATCACAACTGCGGCATTGTCATCATATCGTATTATCATACCGTTGTCACGTTTAAGTTCCTTTTTTCATGAACATAACCCTTGAGACTCTCAGATATTACCACTGTGGTTTATAGTTACACAACTTCACTGTTTATGATCTTAAATTCGTTATCACCACAAATTGAGTGAAACCAAAAATCCAACACCAATTTCAGAATTGCCGGTGAACAATTAACATGTTGTAAAAACACTTTTTCGCTTTCTCTCTCTTCTTTCTCTCTCTTCCCCTGATTCTCTCTAACGGTGGTGCGATCTAGTTCTTGGTTCATCGGTGCTGCTTCTCTGACGATTTCTTTTTCGTTGTAGTAGCAATTTCTCTTCTGTTTCCGTTGTCCTTATGAGTGCGTCATCCAAAGCGGATCGATTGAAGGAAGTGAAAGTAAAACCGCCAGATAAAAGTGTTGTTGTCCGGTATGTTAGGACTGAAGTGGATGTGAAAGATCTGGTTCCTCCTGGGGTCATTGATCAGTCATCAGCTACGATCTACAAAACTCGTTGTAAGCCAAGTGCTTCTGGAGCTGTTGCTTCGGGGATTAGAAAGGCTGAATGGAAAACGGAGGGGAAAGCTTTTAGAGTGAAGAATCGGGCTCGGAAGATTGTGGATGGGATGTCTCCGATGGATGCAGTGGAATGTTACGCTGAAGAAGTTAAAGAGGAGGAAACGGAAGATGATTCGGAGTCTGTGTCGGCTTGGCAGTCGGATGCTAGTGTTTCGATTCCTGGAAATGATAACACTTTGAACGGGTTGAAGGATGGTGGTCCTGGTGAGGTGAAGGCTGTAGGAGTTCAAGTAGTTTCTATTCCTTCAAGTAACACTGCTAATTTGTTGAAAATTTGGGATGGTTCTAAGGTGAATGATGAATTATTTAGTCCTAGTTCGCAATTGAAAATGGTTACTAGTCAAATGATTAGGGCGAATCCTAACATTTATGTGAATGATGTCTCAAAACCTGTATGCCCTAATTTGGTTGATTGTGAAGTTGAGAAATCTAGGGTTGATAGGATTGATAAAAGTGGTATTAAGGTTGATGAAAAGAACATTATGAATAATGAAGAGTTTATTCCGGGTGTTAGGTTTCAATTCCTTAATAAGATGAAGGAGGATACTCCTAAGAAAAAGGAGATGGACAGTAGTTTGAATCAGGAAATGGATGTTGATATATCAATTTTGAATAGGCAAGTTAAAGGGAATGAAGATGGTAATGATACAGATGATTCTTCTGATGAGTCTAGTGATGATGAATCTAGTGAGGATGAGTCTAATGAGGATGAAGAAATTATGATGGAAGAGAAGGGTAATACTGTGGTCAATAATGAGACTAATTCAAAGCTGAAGTCTGGTACTGTTATTAACAGTATTAATTTGCTTCCTTCTATATTGGGTGATGCAAATATTTGTAAGAAGGTGAATGGTGATGGTCAGGGGAACTTATTGAGCTCTTATGCTGGTGTGTTAAAAGGTAATAGGCATAAGGGTAAGATTGATGTTAAGTTTATACCAGGGGAAAAGGGTAAGGAAGAAGGTCCAGTTATTATTCCGATTAAGAATTTAAAGAAGGCGAGTATTCCATATACTAATACTTTATATGGGTAGATGATTGATAAGAAGTTGGCATTTCCTGTAATTCAAAAAGAGGTTAGAAGGTTGTGGAGGAATGTGGGACTTGAGGAGATCTTCATGAACAGTAAAGGATTTTTCTTTTTTAAATTTAGTGATGAGCAGGGGATGTTATCTATATTGGAGGGAAGTCTATGGCTAATGTTCAATAATATGCCTTTATTTCTTCAACGGTGGACACCGGGGCTGACTTTAACCAAGAACAGTCATGATAAAATTCCGGTGTGGATTAAAATCTATGATTTACCTTTGGAAGTTTGGAGTGGGGACAAACTGTGTATTATTGCGAGTAAGTTGGGGGTTCCTCTGGCTTTTGATTCTTTTACTGAGGAGATGTGTTTGGAACACAAGGGTAGGAATGCTTATGCTCGAATTCTTGTTGAAATGGCGGCTGATAAGGAGTGGAAGAGGAAAATTGAGGTATCTACTTGGGATTTTGTTTCTAATTTTGTTGTGACTCAGAGTTTTGATGTGGAGTATGCGAGGATTCCTTCTAGATGTAATCACTGTAAGGTCTATGGTAATATGGATAAAGTTTGTATGGCAGTTTTGAATGAAGATAAAGTTTTAAAGAATGGGGATAATGACTGTAAGAAGGTTAAAGGAAGTGGTTAATGATGAAGGTTTTACTGAGGTTGTTAATAAGAAGGTTAAAGGAAATAAAGATGGTGAAGGTACTAGTAAAACTATGGAGGGTCCTGCTAATTTGTATAATCAGAGAAATAGTGGAAAGAATGGCAATTTTAACAGGGGAAATAGTTTCAGGGGTAATAATGGGAATAGAGGTGGTAATGGTAGGGGGCAGAATGGGAACTGGAACAATAGAGGGGTGAGTCACTGGAATTTGGAAAAGAATCGAAGATATGAGAAGTATGCTACAGGTCAGACTTTGACTAGTAATCAGGGGAATAAGGGGAATAAGGTGCAGGGGGATACTAAAGAGGATGATATCATAAAGGTGGGTGTTAGCAAGAATTTAGAAAATAAGGATGTTACTGGTGATGGTTGTAGTAATAAAAATAGTTTTGAAATCCTGGGAATGATTGGTGAGGAAGTTATGGATGGAATGGAAGAGGATGCTAAGGGGGACAAGGTTGTTGTCCAACAGGAAGGAGATTGTATTGCTTTTTCTTCTGATGTTGTTGGAGAAACGAATAATAAGATGGATCCTTATAAGATTTTTGGGAAGGGTGAAATAGTGAATGAAAGCAATAAAATGAAGAATAGTAAGAGTGTTCAGGGGAACAGTAATAGCAAAGGTGGGTCTTCTCAGGCATTTGAGGTTGTAAATGCCAAAAACTCTATTAATTCCCAATGATGTCTATAGGGGTTTGGAATGTCAGGGGCTTGAATAAAGCCATTAAGCAAAAGGAGGTTATTGATGTTATTAGGAGTAATAACCTTGGTATATGTGTTGTGGTAGAATCTCATGTTAAGGTCTTAAATCTTAAGAATATGTGTGTTAAGACCTTTGGTCAATGGGATTGGGTTTCTAATAATAGCAACTGTGAGGCTGGAACTAGAATAATTATTGGATGGAATCCTAGATTATTCAATGTGATGGTGATTTCTCAGTCTAGACAAGTAATACATTGTTATGTTAGGTTCTATGATTCTAACTATAGCATGTATTTGTCTTTTATATATGCTGCTTCGACTTATGTAGAGAGAAGGTTATTGTGGGATAATCTGAAGAAACATAGTTTGGTTGTTAAGAAGGAAGCTTGGGGAATTTTAGGTGACTTTAATGTTGCTTTAAAGCCTTCGGAATATTCTGAAGGTTGTTCTAAAATGCCGAAAGGAGTTGATGAATTTAATGACTGTATAAATTCTATTGAAGTTGAGGATCTGAATTGCACTGGTTTTCAGTTTACTTGGAACAAATCTCCTACTGGGAATAAGGGTCTTTTGAAGAAGTTAGATAGGGTGATGGTTAATTTGAAATTTGTTTCTGATCATCCTTTAGCTCATGCTGTTTTTAAACCTTATAGGGTGTCGGACCATTGTCCTGCTGTTTTAAATGTTCATGCTGGCAAATTGAGATGGAAACCTTCTTTTAGGTTTTCCAATTTTATTACATAGAAGAAGGAGTTTTTACCTTTGGTTAAAGAGATTTGGGGCACTAATATTGAAGGTTTTTTTATGTTCAAAGTTTTTCAGAAGTTGAAGATTCTTAAAAAGTATTTTCGGGAGCTATGTAGTAAATACAGGGGTTCTGGGAAGAGAATTTAAGAGTTGAGAAAGGAATTGGAAAGTAAACAAGCTGATATTGATCTTAATCCTTTTGATAGTAAGATTAGGGAGGAGCATGCTAATACTCTTTTTGAGTTCAATGTTGCGTGTAATGATGAAGAAATGCTTCTCTCCTAGAGATCTAAGATGATTGGTTATTGGAAGGGGACAATAATACTAAGTTTTTTCATAGAGTTGTGAAGAGCAGGGGTAATAAAAATCGTATATTGATGGTGCTTGATGAAGATGGAAGATGGGTTAGTGGGAAGGCTATGAAGGAGAAATTTGTGAATCATTTCAAGAAGTTTTTGGGATGTGAAGATATAACTGAGTTCTCGTATTTAAATGATGGGTTCTTTCATAATAAATTGGACAGTAGGGTGGCTTTGAATATGATTAGAGTGGTTACTGATGAAGAAATTAAAGTTGCGATGTTTGATATTGATGACAATCGTGCCCCTGGTCCGGATGGGTTTTCCTCCAAATTTTTTAAAAGTGCTTGGAATATTGTTGGGCCGGAGGTGTGTAAAGCTGTGAGGGAATTTTTTTGGACTGGTAAATTGTTGAAAGGGCTTAATGCTACGAGAATTGTGCTGGTCCCTAAAGTGGAGTTCCCGAGGAAAGTTTCTGATTTCCGTCCTATAGCTTGCTGTAACACTTTGTACAAGTGTATTAGTAAGATTATAGTGAATAGATTTAGAAATAATCTGGGAGATATTGTGAGCAAAAATCAATCAGCTTTTATTCCAGGGAGATCTATTTTAGATAATATTCTTCTTGCCCAGGATCTGATGGTAGGTTATAAAAATAAAAGAGGAATTCCTAAATGTACCTTAAAGATCGACATTCAAAAGGCTTATGACACGGTGGATTTGAAATTTCTTAAAAGGGTCCTCTTGGGTTTTGGGTTTCATCCGATAATGACTCAGTGGATTATGGCTTGTGTGTCATCTCCGTGGTTCATGTTGAATTTTAATGGTGAAGATCACAGGTTTTTTGAAGGTAAAAGGGGTCTTAGGCAGGGTGAACCTCTATCTCCTTACCTGTTTACTATAGTTATGGAGGTTTTTAATCTCATTCTTTTGAAGAAAATTGAAGATTGCCAGAATTTTAAGTTTCATAGTAAATGTTTGTCCCAAAAAATCACACACTTATGCTTTGCTGATGATTTGTTAGTCTTTTCTTATGGGAATGGGAATTCAGCTAGAGTCATTAGGGATGCTCTTGATGATTTCAAAAAAGTTTCAGGGTTGAAGGCGAGCATGGAAAAAAGTCAGATTTTCTTTAGCTGTGTTAAACCCAATATGAGAAGGATTATATTGGGCATTCTTCCTTTTGATATTGGGAAATTTCCTTTTAAGTATCTTGGAATTCCTATGTGTGTTACTAAGTTATTTTGCAGAGATTGTAAACAGCTTGTTGAGAAGATTAAGATGAGAATTCTTAATTGGAAAAGTAAGGCCTTATCGTTTGCTGGGAGGTTGCAGCTCATTAATTCTGTTTTGACTACTATTCATGTGTATTGGGCCTCGATCTTTAAAATTCCTATTGCCACAATTAGAGAGATTGAGAAGAATTGTAGAAGTTACCTGTGGGCGAATGGTGAGATAGTCAAAGGGAAAGCTAAAGTCAAGTGGATTGATATTTGTAGGCCTAAAGATTATGATGGGTTAGGGGTGAAGAATTTAAGGAAATTGAATGATGCCTTGTTAGCTAAACATGTGTGGAATGTGATTAATAATAAAAACTCTCTTTGGGTCCAATGGGTGAAAAAGAATTACATTGGTGATAGGAACTTTGGGTATATTTTACAGAAGAAGAGTATGAGCTGGACTTGGAATAGGTTCCTTGAGGTGAGGAAAATTGTTAGGCCTCATGTAGTTTCGTGTGTGGGAAATGGGATGAATACTTCTCTTTGGCATGACTGGTGGCACCCAATTGGTATTTTAAGCACTATTATATCTAGAAGGGATTGGATTAGAAATGGGTTTAGTGATATATCCAAGGTCAGTGATGTTATGCTTAATGATTTCTATTTATGGTCGGTTGAGTGGGTGATTGAATTCCCTGGATTGAAGGATGGTCCCATGTTTTGTATTGATGCTAATCAGGGGGATGTTACTGGTTGGAGAGATAAGAATGGGGTGTGTAAACAATTTTCATGCAAACAGGTGTGGAGAGATATAAATAATTTTGGTGACAAAGTTCCTTGGTATGATATTGTGTGGTATGGTAACTGCATTCCTCGAAATTTGTTTATATTATGGTTGGCTATTTTGAATAGATTGAAGACCCAGGATCGAGTCAAAGGTTGGGAGATTTCTGGTAATTTACTTTGTCCTTTCTGTGCTATTTCTTCTGATTCCCATGATCACCTCTTCTTCAATGTGAATTTTCTCATCTTATTTGGAGTTATTTCTATAATAAGATCGGTCTTAATATCTTTTTTGACGATTGGAATGATTTAATTTTGAAACTGAGCATTTCTTTCAAAGGGAAGTCGGTTGAGAATTTGGTTAATAAATGTGTGTTTGCCAGTTGTGTTTCTCATATTTGGAAGGAGAGAAATTCTAGACTCTTTAGTAGTAGGAGGAATTCGCATAAGGTGGTGATTTCTTGTATTGAAAGTGAAATACAATTGAAGCTGTTGGGGTTGAGGAAAAAGGCTATTATGGTCAATGATAGAGTCTTTAAGACTTGGGGTATTTCTGGAATGGACAAAATATAAGATATGGAAGTCATATTTTGGTTTCTTAGATTGATGGTTGGCGGTTCTCGAGTTTGGGATTGGATGAGGATGATGCTTAATTTTGTTGATTTTCATTCTGTGAATTGGTGGGGGTATTTTTGGAATAAGTTTATATACAAAGGAATTGACGGATTCTGTTACTGGTTTGAGAGCTTGCTTTCAAATCATGTGACGTGTACCTGTGGGATTTTCTGTTTGGATATGATCTTAATTGAGATTATTCAAATGGAGAATCCTAGACATGTGATTGATTCCATGTCTAGTATGAAACTTGTTCTGAATTTATGGAGGGTTGGTGGTGGTTTTTTGTGGATTGGCTTGTTTTTGGTGTGCAGGAAGTTTTTGCAAAGGATGGAGTTGCTGTAGATTAGCATTCAGATGGACTCTCTTTTGTTGAAGGCCATGAGGAAGCTCTTCCTGTTTGAAGATGATAAGAGAAGTAAAAGAAAAGGGAGGATCGATGGGAGGAGAAGTGGCAGAAGGCTTTGGATTGAGAGTTTGATCGAGTTTTTATATAGTAGGGATAATGTGTGTTTTAGTTGTTATTTCTTTTATTTCCCCTTTGTTATTTGTTTATCTAGTGTTGTGGGTTTGTTGGGTTATATCTTAAGGCTAGTCCTATGGACTGTGGGTTTTTTTTAAGGGCCTTTCCCCTTGCTTTGGTCTTAAGGATATTTTGTGGGTTTGGTGGTGCAAGGGGGTGAAGTTACCTTTTTTCCCACTTTCAATAAGTCTTTGGGCTAGCTTTAAGGATAATAAGGGTGGTTGGGGTAATGGGTGGATAGGTTTGGAAATTAAAAAATGGTTAGGAAGTTGGTTATGGATAGGTTGGTTATATTTGGGATTTGTAGGTTGATTTGTTCTTTTGTTGGACTTGTATTCTTTTATTCTTTTTAATAAAGTTTGCTGAGCTTTGGCTCTTTCAAAAAAAAATGTAACATGTTCTAGATTTTTCACCATGGAATTGACGAAAATCCACCTTCGTTGTTTGTACCTTGAAATCTCATTGTTTTATTTTTCTGAGATCTTAATGAAATGTTCTAGACCTACGACGCTTCTTCCCAATAGATCCATTTTCTCTTTTCTTGAGATTTCTTCGATATCCAGCTACTCAAATAATTCAGAAGCATACTTGTTATTATGGCTACACTGGTCAGACAAGTACTTCTTCCGAACGTTCGGATTAATGTTGAGTTTCGGAGTTTGGTTGAAGATGAAGCCACCCTTAAGCCTTAATGAAAAGAAGCATTTCATTGTTTCTCAACAAACTGATGATTGTAATTCAACGGGATACCATACACACACTTCCGAGTCTCTCTTGACTCCGAAAGAAGAGATCGTTGCCCGGGGTCCAACTGTTTTATGTCTTTATTGACATCACTAGAATCCCTTAGATAATTTGCTTTATTTCTTTATCTTTGGCACACACTTGCACGAAAATCATCGTGATTCTCCAAAGTCTGGTTTCAAATATTCCGAGTGGTTACTTTCAGCTTCGAAGAACAGGAAATGTCGAACTATTACGAATGTGAATAACTGAAACGGCAAAACTTAAGGGATAAGATTCCAATTTTGGCGCGTGAAGATTTCAGACTGAGCCTGACATCACGCCTGTCAGTTATGCCTACTGACACACGCCTTGCTGTCATGCCTTGTCAGGCGCTTTTTCAGGGATTGTGCAGCGCCAAACACCGGATTTCTCTCACCACTCATGACGTATAAAAGGAAAATCGACGCTTCATTCTCATTTATCGCTCTCAAAGAATTCCTACTTCCAACACAAGAAAAACCCTTTTTTCTCTCAATATTGTTCAGCATCTTCTCCACCGGCTTCCATGGCTGCTTCGTTTGAAACTCCATCTGCTGCTGACCAAACCGCCTCATCGGGTCTTCTAAGCATCAAGCCCAACCAAAACCTCATCTTGGACATCGACTCATCCAAGTATCATGACTTTCTCCAGCTGTTGATCGATTGCCCGCGATATTCTCCTTTGGCTCCTACACTTTCGATGATAGAGAATGTTCCTTTGGTTCATCTATCCACAACTTTCTCTACTGCTCGTTACCAAGAGAGTGGTTCTATCATTACTTTCGAGGTTGG